TTAGTTACCAATGAAAGAGAGCCAAAGAGCTTTCAAGATGTATAGGCTACTCCGAATAAAGAGCATTAGTTAAAAGCAATGAAAGAAGAGATAAAGTCATTGTAAAAAATAGTACTTATGATTTTGTTAAACTTTCAAAAGGGAAAAAACTATTAAAAAATAAATGGGCGTAAGTTAAAAAATGATGGTAACAAGCTAGTGAGGTACAAAACTCAATTAGTGGTGAAAGATTTTTCTCAGAAATCAGACATCGATTTTGATAAGATCTTTTTTTCAATTATGAAAATGAATTCCATTTATGTGGTACTAGAATTAACAGCTAGTTTAATTATTAAGCTTAAGTAATTTGATGTTAAGATTGCATTCTTACATGGTGACTTGCATAAAGACATTTATATGAATTAACCTGAGGGTTTTGAAGTGAAAGAGAAAGAGCACTTAGTTTATAAACTGAAGAAAAACTTATATAGCTTAAAACAAGTTTGCGACAATGGTACAAAAAGTTTAATTTTTTTATGATAAATCTTAGCTATAAAATAACAGTAGTGAATCCTTGTGTGTATATCAAAAAAATTTGGATGGTAACTTCATTATTCTCTTATTATATGTTGATGATATATTGATTGTGAGACAAGATGTTAGTATGATTTGCAAGTTGAAAGAACAATTGTCTAAGTTCTTTGATATAAAAGACTTAGATCCAACAAAATAGATTCTTAGTATGAACATTATATAGGATAAAAAAGTTGAAAAGCTATGGTTATCATAGGAAAAGTATGTTAAAAAGGTGCATAGTAGATTTAACATGTAACATGCTAAATCAATTAGCAGTCCACTTGCTAACTATTTTCATCTTAGTAAAAAATTTTATTCGATGTCTAATAAAGAGTAACTAACTATGTCTAGTATTTCTTATTCTTCTGCAGTCGATTCTTTAATGTATCTTATAGTTTGTACATAACCTAACATTACTCATGCAATTGGTTAGTAAGCAATTTTTTTTTAATCCAAGAAAAGTTTACTGAAAAGCAGTGAAATAGATTTTTAAATATTTGAGGGGCACCTCAAAAATATACTTGAGTTATGAAGTTTCATAACCAATTCTAGAAGAGTTTACTGATGCTGACATGACAGGTGATATTGATGATAGAAAATCTAATTTAGGGTATTTTTTTATTTTTACAGGAAAAATTGTGTCTTGACAGTTTAAGTTACAAAAGTGTGTTGCTTTGTCAACTATAGAAGCTGAATATATTGCAGCAACCGAAACAGGTAAAAAAATGTTTTGGATGAAACATTTTTTTTCTTGAATTGAGGTTGAATCAGAAAGAGTATATGATATTTTGTGATAGCTAAAGTACTTTAGATTTAAGTAAGAATGCCATGTATCATGCTAGAACAAAGCATATTAATGTTACATATCACTGGTTACATTCAGTGATTGAGAAACAACAGATGCTATTGAAAAAAGTTCATACTGATAAGAATGTAACATATATGTTGACTAAGACATTTCTCAAGGAGAAACTTAAGCTCTATAGTAACTTGGCCAAAATGAGCTCATTGACCAAGGTAAGTTCCAAATGAAACTGTTATGGTGAAGAATCTCCTCCTAATAGGGCTGGAGGGGGAGATTGTTATGATATATGGGGTCTAGCCCTATGTAATTGATTTTGGACCAATCGAAGGTCATAAGCCTTAGTCTTTCTTTTTATACAGAGCCTTAGTTACTTAATAAAAAAAAATAGGGTTATTTTAAGGTGGTGTCACAAACCAAGAAAAGAAAGAAAAAAAGCTAAAAAAAATAGAAAAAAGAGAAAAAAGGGAGAGTTTATTGAACAAAAGTCGATCCATGATCCGATTGAGCTAAAATTTTATCAACAAATTTATGATTCAGAGTTTTACATTATGAACGGTGAAGATCAGATTTGAAGCTCCCCAGGAACAAATCTAATGTATATTTTTTGAGTCATTTATTTAATGAGATTTCTCCAATTATCTCTGTATAGTTGTTGATTAACTCTAGTTTTAGCTAAAGAAAACTTTGTATATCTATTATTTGATAGTAGAGATTTTTTTGATGATTCGTAATTTTTTCTTCTACACTGAAAAATTTTTCACGTAAATCTTGATGTGCTTTATTTTTCTTGTATTATTAATTGTTGATTGTTATTTTTACTTTATTATGTTTATTGCTTTAGGTCTAACCAGATATTAGTCTGCCCTTAGCCTTGAGTTCAATAGTAATAATTTCTTCCATTTTCTAATTCACGTGATAAACATATGGAACTGCATTAGCATTCTATCCAGATAAGTTGAATGATTATACGATTCTCCTTTTTTTTATTAAATTCGTTGTTTGGCCTTCTCTTTTATCTTATGTCTGCTTCGACGCTGTCTCCTTTTGATTGTATATATGTAGAGCTTGCTTTGAATAAACAGAATCAAGAAAAATCTCACACTTGGTCCTCACTGAGTAAACTAATGTATCTCAACTCTCATCCACATCCTTGTTTTTTAAATAAAAAAACAAAAAGAATAACAAAAAATCTTTTCTGCGATCTTTCCAAGTAGCCACCCACTAATCATTCATAAGACCAAGAAAGGAGTTTCAAGTTTGTATCAAAAGAAGAGAAAATTAGAATAAAGAAAAATTTTGCCATAACAAATGCAAAGCTTCTTTTTGCTGCAAAAAGGGCAGTAACAAAAGTTGGGGCTTGGTGTGAACAGAAGAAATGTAGAATTGAAGCATAAAAGGACAACCATGACTGTGGCTCAAATGGGTTGGAGCCACCATTGCCCTTTTACTAATCTTTTGCATCTTTTATATCAACCTTATTATAACGAATCAAAGCATATACTTCTCTCAAAGTTTGCACAAGGACTTGATATATTTTTGGTCTCTTTCAAATCTTGGCAAATGGGTCCATAAAAAAAATGATTCCCAATCTTTTAAAAAGTGTTGTGGGTTGTCATGGAGCTATTTAGAACAGTTCTTGCACTATGTGGCCCACTAAGGATTCATCTTTTAGATCAGGAATATGAAGCTCAAAGCATCTCATTGACTTCGAAGTCTTCTTATTTTGGTTTTTTATTGTTTTTAGGTGGACAACCAATTGTAGCTACATAGCTTTATCTGACAGCTTTAATTATTGGATAGGAAAACTGGGTGTAATTGCTGCTTGATTGATAAAGAATATCAGTTCATCAGTTTTAATTTCTTATTTGTTATTACTTGAATTTATGTTCAAATTTAAAACAACTAGAGTTATTTATATATATATATATTTTTTAATTTTTGAGAAATCGAAAACCATCTCAAAATATATTTGTTTTGCTTTGTAATATACATATAAACTAGTCTTAATTCTTTTGAATTAAGATAATATTAGTAATGTCACAGCTGACATCCATTAGACAAGACAGAACCTCTGTTGAGGCTCACATGCTGGCTGGGGTCCCTATATTTCCATTTGCATTAATCGAGAATTAATCGTATCCCGTAAATCATTCAAAACCATTGTTTCATTTGGAACAATTGCTGCTTTCTCGTGGCAGCACATCAACGTGACGATAGCATTTCTCCTGTTTCTGGGTCCCCGTGACAAGCAGGTCTCAAAGTGATACTTGCTATTATTGCCCTGGTGGGTACCACTCGTCGCCGAAGATTATCGCTTTGCTATTTTTGTAAGCCATATATCTCAGATAACGCTTTGCTCCAATTCGTGAGGTCACTCGTGTGGCCAGCCCAAGACGCTCGTGAACATCAACCAGGGACCCCTGTTGACTCAACAATTGCTTTTAAGTAAACGTTCATTGGTAACCATGTGAAGAAAATTCCATTCAACGAGAAAATGACAATAAGATTTATTAATATGAAATCGCATTCCAAGGACTAGATATTTACAGCATCAGATTCAGATGTCATTTTCTTTTTCAAATGAATATGAAGCTTGCTTGCTTTTTATACATAGTTTGAGCTTACAAGTCACAAACAGACATTTCATACGAGAAAGTAGTATTGTCACTTGTGCAAGCAGGCATTCAATTGCACTTATTCTCCTTCTCCGGGATGAAAGAAACAATAACTGATTAAGTCCATTCATGTTTCACTCTTCCTTTATGGACCACATCCTCATGTTTCTTTTTCTTAAATAAATATGGAGACGTAGGATTACCCTGTATAATGTATACCTGTAGTTTTTTTATCAGTTTTTTTTACAGATACGAAGGAGGTAGATGCAAGGAATACTGTCTCACGCGCAGAGAAAACAGTAGAGACAGCCCGCCGTTGTCCATCTTTAAAGCGTTTTTGGACCGAACAAGAACCTGACCCTGAGTCCTGACCGCATGGTTAAGGCAAGTGGCTTGATACAGGGCTTTGTGGTTTAAAAACTCGCACCCATTTCGGGGGAAAAGGTTCCAGAGAATCTGGAATCATGTGGGAATTAGGGAGCCACGAAGTTTGTCAACAGCTCTCACTGCTTTCATTTACTTTTCCTGTTTCCCCGTTCATTTTTTTTAGCCGATTTTGTAGGAAAATTTAAAATATAGTGCACACGGGAATTAATCTAAGATTTCATATACTTTACTCATTCTTTAAGTTTACTTCAAACTTATATACAGTCAAATGTTTTTACTTGACGTTGAAACAAATTAGATAGCTACTTGCTTTAAAATTTAAATTCAAACCAATAAATCTAAATGTCCAACTTATTTGAAAGCATTAAATATTAAATGTGCTGCATTCAAATATTTGAGATTTATCTTTGATTCTATTCTTCATCCTAAAAACTTAAATTATAATTATTTTTATATTTTAAATTATTAAATTAAAAATTTAACACTGTATCAGTAAATCATTCAATTTTGTTTTTCAATGTTTAACTATAATTAGTAATAATTAGTTATGAAGAGATCTCACTTGAAGATCTCATAACTTAGCAGCAGTGAAAGAAGAAATTAGAAGAAATGGTGTCACTCTGTTCAATGTTTAAATCCGTGTGGCAACAGTTTTCTCTTGCATGCTAAGCATAGGACTTTCACAGGACATATTTCCGTTTTTTTTTTTTTTTTGTGCGAAAGGATTGCTGTCTTTTTGTGTGCACTGTTCTGCTGCAGTCGTAAGAAAACAGAGCTTAAAGTCATTGTCTCGTTAATAAATTACTATTACTACTGCTACTATGCTGTTTGTCTCTCCCCCTCAAAATCTCCACCATCTTTCTGATTTTTTATCTTCATCGAGATTATTCCCTCCCTGACCTCATGATGCGATCCATTTGATGCACTTCTTGGCTTCCTCTCCCTTGTCTTAAACCCATTTGATTCTCTCATACTCTTCTTTCAAAATTACAAATTTTTGGAGTAAAAAGGTCTCAGTTTGTAATTTTTAAAAAAAAATTTAACTTCGCATTTTTTTCCTCCCTCCATAATTCTGTTTAAAACTCACCATAGACAACAACAAAAATGCCCATCATAACATTACCCACTCTTCTTCTTGTTCTTCTTCTTCTTCCTGTGTCTCCAATAGCAAAGCAGAAAGCACCATCTTTTTCATTCTTAAAAGCTTACTCAAAATCTCTCTCTTCAGCTGGCTCAAATTTTTTCAAACCAAAACTCTTAGCAAAAATGCTTCTCCTTGTCCTCTCTTTTTTCTTCTTCACCTTTCCTTCACCTTCCCTTTCTCTCAACCAAGAAGGCATCTACCTTTTCCAAGTCAAAGCCTCCCTTTCCGACCCTGACTCCACCCTTTCCTCATGGAACTTTAGTGACCCAACCCCATGCAACTGGCGTGGCGTTTCGTGTGACTCTGCCACTGGCTCCGTCACTTCCCTTGACCTCTCTAACACCAACCTCGCAGGGCCTTTCCCTTCCCTTCTTTGCCGTCTTCAAAACCTTTCCTTCGTTAACTTCTGCAACAACAGCATCAATTCCACCATCCCTTCAGACATCTCCACGTGTCAGAATCTTATCCACCTCGATCTCTCCCAAAACCTCCTCACTGGTGAACTCCCCCGCACTTTGGCTGACCTCCCTAACCTTAAATACCTCGATTTAACTGCTAACAATCTATCAGGAGATCTTCCGGAGTCGTTCGGTCGGTTCCAAAAGCTCGAGGTTTTGTCTCTCGTTTACAACCTCCTCGATGGCACAATCCCCGCATTTTTAGGAAACATTAGTACGCTAAAAATGCTTAATTTATCCTACAACCCGTTTAGTCCTGCTCGGATACCACCGGAACTTGGCAACTTAACTTACTTAGAGATTTTGTGGATCACTAACTGTAATTTAGTTGGCGAGATTCCTGACTCCCTGGGTCGACTCAACAAACTCACATATTTGGACCTTGCCACTAACCACTTGGTAGGGAAGATTCCGAGTTCGCTCACTGGGTTGGTTAGTGTAGTTCAGATTGAGCTGTACAACAACTGGCTGTCCGGCGAGTTACCTCGCGGGTTCTCGAATTTGACCAAGCTGAGACTCCTCGACGTTTCGACGAACCAGTTAACGGGAAAGATTCCGGACGAGTTGACTCAGCTGCCACTCGAAAGTCTCAACCTTTACCTCAACAGCTTCGAAGGAACTTTACCACCGAGTATCGCCGACTCTCCAGCCCTGAACGAACTCAAAATCTTTCAGAACAGACTCACGGGAGAGTTACCTCAAAACCTCGGCAAAAACTCGCCGCTTAGATGGCTTGACGTCTCCGAAAACCAATTTACCGGCCCTATACCACCGAGTTTATGCGAGAAAGGGAACCTAGAAGGGATTCTGATGATATACAACTCGTTTTCGGGTCAAATACCGTCGACTTTAGCCGAGTGTCGGAGCCTGAACAGGATCCGACTCAGTTACAACAAATTATCCGGTGAAATACCCGCCGGTTTCTGGGGTCTCCCTCACGTGTATTTACTCGAGCTTGTTAATAACTCGTTCTCGGGTCAAATTGGGAAATCAATCGCAAATGCAGCGACTTTGTTGCGGTTGATTATATCAAGCAACGAGTTTAGTGGTTCGTTGCCTGAAGAAATTGGTTTAGTACATACTTTACTTCAAATTTCTGCTAGTAACAATAAGTTTAGCGGGGCGTTGCCTAAAAGTATAGTGACGCTCGATGGACTAGGGGTCCTTGATCTTCATGGGAATGAGCTGGAAGGGGAATTGCCTAGTGGAATTGAGTCTTTGAAGAAGTTAAACGTGTTGAATTTAGCTAATAATGAGTTTTCGGGGAAGATTCCTGATGGAATAGGGAGTTTGTCTGTGTTGAATTATCTTGATTTTTCTAATAATCAGTTAACGGGAAGGATTCCCTTCGGTTTTCAGAATTTGAAGCTCAATCAGCTTAACCTGTCGAATAATTTGTTATCCGGTCAGATCCCGCCTTGGTTTGATATTGAAATATACAAAAACAGCATTTTGGGCAATCCTGGTTTGTATTTTGGGAGGGATGGAGCTAAGCATAAAGGTTATATTTGGTTGTTTAGATCCATTTTTGTTTTAGCCGCTTTGGTGTTTGTTGTTGGTGTGGTTTGGTTTTACTTCAAGTACCTGAGTAATAAGAAAGCAAGGGATAAGTCTATGTGGACTTTGATTTCGTTTCATAAGTTGGGTTTTAGTGAGTATGAGATATTGGATTGTCTTGATGAGGATAATGTGATAGGGAGAGGATCTTCAGGGAAAGTTTACAAGGTTGTGCTTAGTAATGGAGAGGCTGTTGCTGTGAAGAAGCTTTGGGGAGGACTGAAAAAGGGTTGTGAGAGTGTAGATCTTGAGACAGGTCAGGCTCAGGTTCTGGATGATAGGTTTCAAGCTGAGGTCGAGACGTTGGGGAAGATTAGGCACAAGAATATTGTTAAGTTGTGGTGCTCTTGTACTACTCGGGATTGCAAGCTTTTGGTGTATGAATACATGCCAAATGGTAGCTTGGGAGATTTGTTGCATGGCAATAATGGTTGTTTGCTGGATTGGCAGACGAGGTATAAGATTATTGTGGATGCAGCTGAGGGACTTTCTTATTTGCATCACGATTGTGTGCCTCCAATTGTGCATAGAGATATCAAGTCCAACAATATCTTGTTGGATGGGGATTTTGGCGCTAGAGTGGCTGATTTTGGAGTTGCCAAGGTGGTTGATGCAACTGGAAAGGATGCCAAGTCCATGTCTGTGATTGCAGGGTCTTGTGGTTACATTGCTCCAGGTTAGTTGACCAAAACTTTATCATCATTCTAGTGATTGAAAGTTTTAATTATTTCCTATACCTTGCTGCTATTAGTTTATACTTAAATCTTTGAATGCTCAGTCAGAAATATTGAGCGATTAGCTGCAACAAACACTATACATAGATGTCTATTTATCGGATTGTATTCATGTTTAATGACAATCTTTAATGAGAGTGCAATCTTTAATTGTTTCTGATGTTATTTTTCACTCAATCTAAACTAAAAAAAAAAAAAATTTGGTGCAGAGTATGCATATACTCTTCTAGTGGATGAGAAGAGTGATATCTACAGTTTTGGCGTAGTTATACTTGAGATGGTCACAGGCAGACTCCCAATTGACCCAGAGTTCGGGGAGAAGGATCTGGTAACATGGGTCTGCATCACTCAAAATCAGAAAGGACTGGATCATGTTCTTGATTCCAAACTTGACCCTTGTTTAAAGGAAGAAATATACAAGGTCCTCGACATCGGACTCCTCTGTACTAATCCACTCCCAATCAACCGCCCGTCAATGAGAAGGGTGGTTAAGCTGTTGCAAGAAGCTGCTAATGATAACCTGCCCAAGGCTGCTAAAAAGGATGGGAAAATTGATTCCTTACTACTATGAATCTATATGCCTCAGATCAAGGAAGTGTGTCTTTAGAAATTTTTCTTCATAGCTTGTTCCAAAAACAAGGCCACGAGAGTGTGATATGGAAAGAGGATTGAGTGGTTTTGCTTTTCAATCATTGTACACCCACTTGATGTTTGCTTTACCGGATGAAAAGAGTATAGGGTTGGAAATTCCCACATCGAGACAGAGATGGAGAGAAAAAAAAAAATTCTCAATGCGTTTAACATATCAAAGTTCCCTCATTAAAGTAAAATTAAAAATTAAAACTTACAATATCCGGTCGTGTTTCACATTTAGGGGCCATGCAGATGCGCAACAGAAGGGTTAAAAATTATTGTTTGTGAAAAAGTAGGAAGTTGCAAACAAGTCGTAGATTCCCATTGAAGCCCTAATAAAACCACGACTTTGAAATGACCATTCTCTTTCAGTATTTTAGATCGAAAAGTTGGAATCAAATGCTTGAAAATGATCTTATATTTGCCTGGCAATCTTGCTCTTTCTCCCCTGTCCCCAAACTTGGGTTGCTAATCGAGCTTTAGTAAACAAAACCAATCATTCTCTTATTTGTGAACACAATTTACATGAAATTTTATAAGTAAAATTCATAAAAGTTTTATTAAAAATAAATAAATAAAAAATTTAAATTAATAAATTAATAAATTAAATATAAAAATTAATAATATATAAAAAATATTAAAAATATTATTTATAATTTAAATTTAATCTATATTTATTTAATTATAAAAATTTTATAAATATTTAACTAAAAATATTTATTTAATAAATATATTACATTTTTTTATGTAATAAAATCATTCAATCTATCAATTTTAAATTTTATTTACTTATTTTTAATAAAAAATTTTATGAATTTCTTTTATGTAAATCTTTTTTCTTGTTTGAACGTCTCCATCGGAGTTTTTAATTTTCTTGAATACTTTCTTTGTCAGCTAAACAGCAACAAAAAAGAAAAACAGTTTTTTTTTTTTTTTTATGAAATTGTATGAACAAAAAGAAACTGATTAGATCAGACAACAAAAACAAGGGTTTTTTCTGTATGAGATTATATGAACAAAAGGATACCTATCAGATCAGACAGACGCAGCCAAAACCTGATCAGTAAGGGGACAATTATTTGTGTGGAGGTATCTTGGAAACAAAACACATATCATCACAAAGTTCCAAAAAAGAAAGAAAAACCTAACCCTTACGTCAAAGTTTCAAAGGTTTCAACAAAGAAGTTTCTTGTTGCCGCGTGGCTTCTGAGAGAAGCTTTCGAACGTGAACAAGAAGGATCATGTCGGCTGTGACATAAGTTAATTACGTCAAGGATGGATTTTCCGCGGTCTTACAGTTTTCAACTACAATATTCCCCTTATAATTTTTTAATCATAATAAAAAAATTATATAAAAAATTTATCATTTATAATTTTAAATTTTGATTAATTAATTATAATCCAAAGGTGATATCCTTCTTTCATAAGTTGTTTGCTTCTCAGTCGTCTGATCGAAGGCTACAGCATCAGATCATCTTGGGTGATCAATGATTCGGTTTAAGAGAGAAATTAATAAAAATATACTTTCAGAAACGTGCAGGCTACTGATATGGTTTCATTATCCAGTCTCCTAGCTGCTCATTGGATATCTTCGTGTGCCTAAAGCAATGTTTAGCACAAATAAAACTTTAATAAAAATAATAAAATAATACCACAAATAATAAAAAAGAAAGTTATAAATTGTTGCCTAAAGCAATGCAATCTATTTATAAAACATTATATTTTGCATTTTAATGATTAAATTTAAATTTAAAATTTTCAAATACTAAAAAATTGTAAATGATTAAATTAAATAATTTCTATATAATTGTGAATTGTGTGTATATATCTTAATCTAATCTCATTAATTTTAACAAATTTATTTTAGAATTTATATTTGATACATTATCAATGTAAAAATTTTATATATTATCAAAAAATCAAATGATGAAATGAATTAAATGATAATATCGCATTAATAAATAAATTTTTTAAGAAATTTTAATTAATGCCAGCTTTTTTTAGATTTTTAAGAATTCAATTTTAATAATTTTAAATATATAAAAATATTTTTATAAAAGCCAATATATATAATTACCACCAACTTGGATTAAAAAAAAAAACTAGAATATCTTATATCAAATATATAATTAATCTCTTTTAAACAAGGCTATAGGAGGAATTATCAAAACCATAAATGAAACACAAATATAACCTACAAAACAACAAATAAATAACAAAGACATATATGAGAAACTTTACCTTTAAACTTTCATCCTAAACTACACATCTAAACCTAAAAGAGAGAGAAGGGATGGTGAATATTCCTTGCTTATCATGAGAAGTCTACGCGAAGAAATGGATTAAAAACTATACAAAAAGTTTGGTGAATTAACTTTTTTTTACATTCAAAATTGTTGGTTCGTATTTTATATGTTACAATATTATATAATTTCACCTTAACTTTTTTTTTTTTTTTTGCTCCATAGCTTTAAGAATACTCCAATTTGACACTGGAGCTGAAAGCTTTTTCCTAAAATGAATCCCCATCTCCCTCTCAAGTGGTAAAACGTCCTACTCAAAATTTTTTTTTTTAATTAAGTCAATTATTTATTGTTAATTTTTTTTATAAATGACGCATCATTTAAAAATAAAAAAATTATAAATATTGAGATATGAACTCCGAATATTAATATAAATATCGTATTTTCGAAGTGGTTATATGACTAACAAAATTAAGTTAGCTTGAATTCACTGTCAACTTCCTTATTAAGATTTTAATTAAAGCAGTGTAAATCTTTTTTTTTTTTTTTGGGATGCACAGTATAAATCCTTTCATATATGTTTAGACCTACCCCAAAAGCAATGTCCAAAGACTGCATTTATTCTGTCATTCAAGCGTATATACTTAGCATAACCAAACTTGACGTCCAAGTAATATATATTATAATTTTTTTATTATGTTTCTAGAAAAAGAAATAAAATGGATAAATATCATTCTCTCTTTTCTTTTATACCCTCCCTTTAATCTTCTCTTTCTTTTTCTCTTGTTTGCCCAGAACTGAGTATATAGCACACAGCAGCTATACCCTTGATCATAAGCAGAAAATTTGGAAAAAAAAAGAGAATAACAAAGAGTGGAAGAGTTAAATTCCTTGCCGACCATCAAGAAAGAAAAAGTGGGTATCTGAAAACGTGCTCTAAAAGAGACAAGTTTTGCTTTACTTGTTTGTTTTTTGTTGTTTGGTTTTGTTTTATGTGTCAATCTTGCTAGAATTTCGCGTGCGTGTTGAGGAAGTGGGGGAAGAAGGCAGAAGCAGAATTCAGCTTTGTGATGAGAATAAGATCAGCAGATCAAGAGAGATGTCATGGTGCAATAACCCTGATGATGATAGAGCTCTACAGTTAGTTACAGCAGCCGCCACCAAAGAACCTGCAGTTGCTATCGCCGCCACCGCAGCTATTTCCGACTCCAAAACTGCTCAAGAAACCCCAATCATTATTTGCCCTTCATGTGGCCATGACATACCCTACCAAGATCAGGTACATATTTTAATCATAAATTACTCTATAGTTTTATTTTTTTTGGTTTATTTCATATAGTTTGATGTACTAAAATACTATTATTTATGTGGGGTTAGGCGGGAATTCATGATTTGCCCGGGTTACCAGCAGGAGTGAAGTTTGATCCAACTGACCAAGAGATTCTAGAGCATTTAGAGGCAAAGGTAATATCTGATATGCGCAAGCTTCATCCTTTGATTGATGAGTTTATTCCTACGCTGGAAGGAGAAAACGGGATTTGCTATACTCATCCAGAGAGGCTGCCAGGTACTTTGATGCTTTCTTTTTTGCTCCAAACTCACTAGCTTTCTGACCTTTTATGGGTTTTCTTCAACTTCTTTTCTCTTCAAGTACATAGTTTTTCTTTTTCCACTTTGTTTTAGGGCTATATCAATGATCTGCGTTTTCTTTTTTTGCTTGGCCATTATGTATGATCTATTTTGGTAGACGAATTTAGATGAAAACGTGAAGAACTTACTGCATTTTACAGAATCCAGTTAAGTATATTGTAAGGAAGTAACCAAGTTGGCTAATATTAACTGCAAGGATTGCTAGTGTGTTGGCCTAATTACGCGAGATCCTTTGGTTCTACTCAAGCAGCCACATATTTTCTTTGAGACATGTGATTGGGCATTGCCTTTCATCATTTCATGATTTCCATAATATTTTGTTAGTTCTGGAAAAGATTTGGATATATGTTTTTTACAAGAAGTTTGTGAAATTTTTTAACGATTAAATAAAAATAAAAATCGAAAATCTAAATTGATAAATTAAGAGGCCATATTACGTGAATCAAGTATGCAATGATGCCGAACTTCATGACTCTTGAATAGTCAAAGTTAGGATGATCACCTGATAATAGTTTGCTAGCTATTGCTTTAAGTGGCCTAACTGCTTGTCTAAAGGGAAATGAGTGGTTAGTAATCCAATCAAATATTAGCATATCTTAATTTCCATTCTGACTCGTACGATTAAGCTATTGATCTAATGATATAGTTTCATTCGTAGAACTAAATATCCTTTGATCTGTTCACATTTTAACGGTGCAGGAGTAAGCAAAGATGGCCAAATTCGACACTTCTTTCATCGACCCTCCAAGGCATACACAACCGGGACTAGGAAGAGAAGAAAAGTTCACACGGATGAAGATGGAAGCGAAACAAGGTGGCATAAAACCGGAAAGACCAGAGCAGTTTTGGTTGGTGGGGCAGTGAAGGGTTTCAAAAAGATTTTAGTACTCTACACCAACTATGGCAGGCAAAGGAAGCCTGAGAAGACAAACTGGGTGATGCATCAATATCACCTTGGCAACAATGAAGAAGAGAAAGATGGAGAGTTAGTGGTTTCAAAAGTTTTTTACCAAACTCAACCTAGACAATGTGGTCCAAGTAGTGTTAAGGATACACTTGATAGAAAGTTGAAAAATCGAAGCCGCCATGAAAGTCCTATAGCGAAGAGTAGCAGTGTCGCTTTTGTTGAATATTACAATCCACCTTTTATTTCATATGATCATGGGAGTCATCATAATAGAGAAAGCCCACCTCAGCTAATTCCAAATTTGGTTGTTCAAGGTGATGGATCTTCCTTTTTTCGATTAGCCTCTGATACAAGCAAAGTGTGACCTGAAAGAAATAGGCATAATGGAAAGATGAGCATTTGATAGAGCAGCTACGTACGAGAAGGACATATTTGGTTGGTGTTGTTGCTGTTGCGCTGTAATAATCAAATAAATGATCAGATTGTGCTTTTGCTGAGGAAAGGATGGAATTAAAGAATAAGGTGAATGTCTTCTTTTGTTAAAGACAAAAAGAGTCAGTCGGATCGATGCTTTGCAAGATTTGCCCATATATAACCACGTTCTTGAGCATTAAAGCACTGGAAAAGGGAGCTGGTGCCCTATTTTATATACCCATTTGCATAATATTTATATTTACACATTTATAAGGTTTTATGGCATTTATAATAGGATATTGTACAAGGATTACTCCCATAAACTTCTGTTAATAGTCCTACAGATTTTAATTAGTTTTACCATTTGTCATCTACTAGTATATATGTTAGAAACTCGAGATTGCAAAAATACAATTGTTTTTAATTCTATCATGGATTTTTTTGTGCAATTGTAAATTTGATTAAGTTTTTCTCATACCCTTTTCAGGATTTGAATGAATACATAATATATATATATTTAATAACTTTTGGTTTAATAGCATAATTAGGATTTGCATGTTAATCTTAAATTGAATAGCCAAATGAGAACTTACACATTTTTTTTTCTATACAAAAGAGCGGTCATAGCTGCTAGAACAAGCCTTTGGCCTTGCTATGTTGGGCCTTAAGCAATAAACACAACAACATAAAAGCAGTATATCGTAATAAACTCACAGTAATAGACAACAATCAACAATCAATAACGTAAAAAAAAAAATAAAGCACACCAAGATTTACATGAAAAACCCTCCAATGTAGAGAGAAAAATCACGGATATCAGAAAAATCTCAACTATTAAATAGTGGACATACAAAGTTCTTCTCTAACTAAAACTAAAGCTAATCAACAACCAAAGAGAGACAATTGGAGAAATCTCACCAAATAGGTGACTCAACAAATACACCTTAGATTTGTTCATAGAGAGCTTTAAACTCAATATTCACCATTCAAAATATAGAACTTTGAATCATAAATCTGTTGATAAAATTTCAGCTCAATCGGACCACAAATTAACTTACGTTCAATCAACTCTCCTTTCTCTCTTTTCTCTCCATTTTTATGGCTTTTCTTCTTTCTTTGCTTGGTTTGCAACACCATCTTAAAATAGCCCCACCTCATTTTATTAAGTAGCTAGAGCTTTGTATAACCATGGCCTTTGATTTGTCCAAAACCAATTACATAGGGATGGATCACATTTTTCTAACAATCTCCCCCTTCAGCCCTATTAGAAAGATATTCATCACCATAGTAGTTTCATTTGGAACTTATCTTGGCTAAGGAACTCATTCCGACCAATTTACTACAAGCTCAAGCTTTTTCATGAAAAGTATCTTAGTCAATATATTTGTTATATTCTCATCAGTATGGACTTTCTTCAATAGCATTTGTTGTTCCTCAATCATTGAATATAACCAGTGATATCTAACATCAATGTGCTTTATTTTAGCATGATACATGACATTCTTACTCAAATTTAAAGTACTTTCACTATCACAAAATACCACATATTCTTTCTGATTCAATCCCAATTCAAGAAAAAAATATTTCATCCAAAGCATTTCTTTACTTGCTTCTGTTGCTGCAATATACTCAGCTTCTGTAGTTGATAAAACAACACACTTCTGTAACTTAGACTGCTAAGACACAGCTTCTCTTACAAAAGTGAATAAATACCTTGAAGTAAATTTTCTACCATCAAGATCACCTATCATGTCAGCATCAATAAACCCTTTTAGAACTAGTTGTGAAACTCCATAACTCAAACACATTTTTAAAGTGCCCTTCAAATATCTAAAAATTTATTTCACTGCTTCTCAATAAACTTTTTCAGGATAAAAAAAAAATTTGCTCACTACACCAACTGCATGAGCAATATCAAGCCGTATACAAATCATATGATACATTAAAAAACTGAATGTAGAAGAATAAATAATACTAAATATAGCTAGTTGCTCTTTTTTAGACACCGGACAAGATTTTTTACTCAAATAAAAATAGTTGGCAAGTGGACTGCTAACTAATTTAGCATGTTATATGTTGAATCTAATAGACACCCGTTCAACATATTTTTTCTGTGACAACCATAGCTTTTTAGGTTTTTTATCCCGGATAATGTCCATATTGAGAATTTGCTTTGCTAGACCTAAATCTTTTATATCAAAAGACTTAGACAATTATTTTTTCAACTTGCAAACTATACTAGTATCTTATCCTACAATCAACATATCATCAACATATAATAAAAAAATAATGAAGTTATCATAAGAAAATTTTCTTACATACACACAATGATCTGCTACTGTTCTTTTATAGCTGTGGTTCACAATAAAAGAATCAAACTTTTTGTACCATTATTGTAGAGTTTGTTTCAAGTCATACAAGCTTTTCTTTAGTTTGTAAACTAAGTGCTCTTTCCCTTTCACTTCAAAACCTTCAGGTTAATTCATATAAATGTCCTTCTACAAGTCACCATGCAAACATGCAGTCTTGATATCAAGTTACTCAAGCTTAAGACTTAAACTAGCTACTAATCCTAGCACTACTCGAATGAAACTCATCTTTACAACTGGAGAGAATATATTATCAAAATCGATGTCATGTTTCTAAGAAAAATCTTTCACCATCAATTAAGCTTTATACATCACTAGCTTGTCACCATCCTTTTTCAACTTAAACACCCATTTATTTTTCAAGTGCCTCTTCCCTTTCAAAAGTTTAACAAGATTATAAGTATCATTTTTTTACAATGACTCCATCTCTTCTTTTATTACTTTTAACCAATGCTCTCTATCTGAAATAGCATGTACATTTTGGAAGCTCTCTGGCTCTCTCTCACTGGTAAGTAAAATAAAATTTAAACTTGGATACCTGATAAATAGTCTGCGCTCTTTAATAGATCTCTTCGACTGAAACTCTACATCACCTGATGCCGAAGGTAGCTCTCTCTGCTCAACACTCTCTGGTGGAGAAGATTATTTTTCTTGCTTAAAACTGATTGCATCTGGCTCATTACTAACTGTGGCTAGCTTATTCATATCTTCAAGTTCTATTTTTTGCTTATTTTTACTATCTGTGTCTATTTCCTGTAAAACTCCTATCGGTGTTGAAACATTACACTCAACAGTAACCCGTTTAGTCTTTTTATTTTTCTCAAGGTTTGTTATGATTTTTTTTCATGAAAGACCACATCTCTACTTTTGACTGTCTTTCTCTTTACTAGATCCCATACCCTGTAGCCAAATTCTTCATCACCATATCCTTCAAACACACACTGTATGATTTTACCGTCAAACTTTAACATCTACTCTTTCGACATATGCATGAATGCTTTACACTCAAAAACTTTCAAGTGAGAGTATGAAGCATCTTTCTTTGTCCATACTCTTTATAGAATGTCAAAGCTTAAAGAAACTTATGGTGATCTGTTAAGTAAATAATAAGGTGTGCTGACTGTTTCACCCCAGAATGACTTTGATAATTTTTTCATCCTTAATATACATCTGACTTTTTTCATAATTGTGTGATTCATCCTTTCAACTATACCATTATACTATGGTGTTTCAGGTTCTGTCATCTCATTTCTGATCATATATTTTGAACAGTACTCTTCAAAGTCTTTGAATGTGTATTCTCTATCATTAATAGTCTAAATACACTTTAAAGGTAATCATGCCATTCTTTTCACCATGACATGAAATTTTTAAAAATACTACAATACTTGACTTTTGTTTTTCAACATATACATCCAAGTTTTATGTAAAGTATCATTAATAAAAGTAACAAAATACCTGCTGCCACCTAATAACTCAACCTTAATGAGACCACATATGTCAAAATAAATCAATTTCAATTTATTTTTTCTCTGAGAACTCTTACAAAAAGAAACTCTACGATGCTTACCAAACAAACAATAATCATATAAATCGAGAGATATACCTTTGGTTAGGGGAATGAAAGACTACCTTGTCAAAACCTATAATCTCTTTTTGCTTATGTGTGCCAGCCTCTTGTGCCACAAGTTTGCTGAAGCATCATCCTCAATGATATTTATCTAATTGCCATTTAATCGCATCCATGTCTTATACATTATGCAGCATAATTTTTTTTTTGTAACTACCATAAATCTTTTGAGAAGCTTTCACTGTCCATTCTTTTGTCGACTCTCATATCCTTTTTATCAAGGACATTAATAGCAAGTAAGTTCATTTTCATATCCAAAATATGTTTGACATCTTTCAAATTTAACATGCAACTTGCACTAGTTTGTATAATAATATCACAAATCTTAACAATCTACGACACACTTTTGTTTTTCACTTGGTGCAACCAAAGTCTCTTATTTTGTAAATTGTAAATAACTCTCTCTTAGAAAGACAATAATATGTCGCTCCTGTGTCAACTATCCACTCAATGTCGGAATCACTAACATGATTATAATGTCATGTGTATAAATCAAAGTAACTGAATCATTATCTAAATTTACTACTACACCATTGCCATCATCTAAACTATTATCTTTCTCATCTTTTCGCTCTTGCTTCAAGATTTTACAATGTCATTTTATATGACTTACTTTATCACAGTGAAAATACTTCACTTTATCTCTGAACTTGGATCTACATTTAAACTTACTACGACCTTTTAAATTCTGACATCTGTCGATGTTTCTACCCCTGTTCTCTGTGACCAAAGCTTGATTCTCAGGGTTTACATCTTTTCATCTTGCTTTTTCATTAAGCAAACTATCATTTACCATCTCCAATGTCAACTTGTAATCAGGGGTTGAATTAAGAACAGTCACAACTAGAGTATTCCAATTGTCTGGCAATGAACTCAAAAGAAATAATGCCTTTATTTCATCATTCATCTTAAGCTCCATAGTAGTTATCCAATTAAATATATCTTAAAAATTATCTAAGTGCTCTATAATCGATTGTTCATCATTGTACTGTAAAGTTACAAGCTTTTTAACAAGCATAATTTTATTCATATCTATTTTTTTCTCATACATGCTGTCAAGTTTTCTCAAACAATGTGGGCATCTGTCTCCTGCGTTACATGATGAAACACGCTTATATCAACTTATTTTTTAATTTTAGTCAGCGTTTTTCTGCCTAACTTTTTTCAGTTTTTATCTTTCATATCTATTGGTTTAGCCAAATCACCTAATACCGACTCATATAAATTTTTACAGTATAAATGATCTTCTATTATAGGCTTCCAAATTAAATAATTTAATGCTGTCAATTTTATCATAGAACTTGTATCACTCTCTATGATCTCAAACAAAATTTACTTTTGTTTTAGACTGCTTCTGTATCGTTGTCTCAAAATAACCCTTGCTCTGATATCACTTATTAGACCTGAAGCAATAAACACAACAACGTAAA